CCAAAAAGATGACTGGTAAGGGGATCTTAACCCTTGACTTGGTGTTGTCAGCACCACGCTCAGCCAGTGAGCGAACCGGCCATCCCTATATGGGATCCGAACCCGTGGCCTTGGTGTTATCAGCACCACACTCTCCCGAGTGAGCCACGGGCCGGCCCTCTCAAAACGTTTTTAATTGACAAATCGTAGTTGTAGTTGCCTAACTTCTTTAAGACTCAGTTTACTTTCTTTTAAGATGATATAAATTTTTCTCACTGCCACCCAGATATGTTTGTTACGGGCATAAAAGTCAAGCATGTAAAGCATCCGGCACATAGGCCTGGCGAGTAGCAGGAGCTCAACTTCTAGTCCACCTCCTTCCTCCCAAAGGACATTTCTTGCCATTCAGATAGTTCAAGAAATGCCTCAGATATGAAGGGCAGCTACTGAGGTGTTTCTAATGGGACTTGGATTTGCTGCTTGGGTGTCCCATTTGACTGCCACTTTATTTTATTCTCTCAGAGCCTTCTCTCAAGAGTCCTGTTCCTATGTTTAGAGTGTGAGGCTCCACCAACTCCCCAGGAAACCGTGGGGATCTCACAGACTCTGCACTGGCCTCTCATTCTACGTTTCCTTCCCGGATAAGCAGTGGCCTCACCCTCTCCCTAAAGAAGCTAGGCCGGGACCAAAACTCCTCCCCCTGCCCGCTGGACACGCAGAGCTGGCACACACCCTCCGTCTTGCCCGGAGCCTGGCTGGCGGAACCTTCAGCTTCCGTCGCAGGAGCCGACTGGGTGGGCGGCCCGTGGGCTCCCTCTGGTCCTGCTTCCGGTTGCCCCGGGCTGCTTTTGGGGTTGGACTGTTTGGCAGCCCCGTTCTTTTTGTCTTGGTTCTTCATTGTGATCTGCAATGCTAGGTTAGAAGCGGATCCTTTAGAAACACAGTTGCTATTTTCCAGAGTTCGAAATTCCTTGCAGCCTGGATGAGAAATCCCAACACCCGGCACACAAAGCTGCTTAAAACTAACAACTTGGCCGCCCTTCGCCGGCGGGGGCCAACGGTCCTCCCGGTCTCCGGCCGGTCAGGGGAGTCTGGCGTGCGCGGGGAGGTTATCGGGGCGCTGTCCCTGGAGCGGGTGAGGCAAGCGACCTCCTTTTTCCCCGGAGCCACTTCCCGGCTCAACACGGCCCCCTCACCGCAGGCCGAGCGCCGGATTGGCTCGGGGCCGGAGACTGACGTGGCGGGACGCTCGACTCCCGCCCCCTCCCGGCCGAGAGCGTCGGGACTCACAGACCCACCGACCGTCCCGTCCCGTCAGCCGCCGCTGTACGTACTTCGCCGCCGACGCCCGACAGCTTCCCCCAGCTCTGGCCTCGCACCGGAAACCCTGGGTAACCACTGCCGGCAGAGCCGCCTGCTCCCGCCTCAGCCAATCAATGGCGAGGCGCGGGCGCGGGGCTTGCTGGGAAAGACGAAGCGAAGGCGGCCTTGGAGGCGGGTGAGTTGGAAAGGCGGGGGAGGGGAAGGACTACACGTCCCTCCATGCATCCGGGCGACCACAGCTCCCAAGATGCAATAGAAGGAGGCTCTAGTCCTAGGAGCCAGGTACTCTGGGGTCCGAAGGGAGTCACTCATTCTGCACGGTTACCCTCGTCAACCTCGGTTTTGTCTCGCGGAAGCGGTGATTGGGCCTCCAAAGCCTTGAGCTTGGTTATTCTCTCCTGCACGCGTCCATCAACCCTTCCCCTCTTACTGTGAACTCTGTGACTCAAGGAACTCTGAGGGCTCGGTACGAAGGATAGTCCTGGGCTGAGAATCAGGAGACCGTATTCTAGTTCTGACTTCATTACTAATTTGCTGTGTGGCTGGACATTCTTTCCTTTCCCTGGGCCTCAATTCCCTTGTTCTAATGGAGGCTTTTAACAATAGCAGTTCTGGGCCGGCCCGGTGGCGCACTCCTACAGTGCGCCGCTTGGAAAGCGCAGCGGCGCTCCCGCCGAGGGTTCGGATCCCACATACAGACCGGCCGCTCACTGGCTGAGCGAGGTGCGGGGGCAACACCGAGGGTTGCGATCCCGTTGCCGGTCCCGGTCCGGTACGGGCGCGACACTGAGGGTTGCGATCCGTTGCCGGTCACAAAAAAAGAGACAAAAAGGAAAAAAACAAAAAACAATAGCAGTTCTTTGAGCTCTTTCCCAATATCTGAGAGCTTGAGCCTCATCAAGATAAATGCTATTGGTTATTCCCGTTTTACACAAGAGGAGGTGAGGCAAAGGTTAGATAACTTGTCCAAGGTCACATCGGTATTGAGTACTCAAAAGTAGGAACTCAAAACAAGGAATTGACACCAGCACCCATCATAACTACTTGGCAACCCTGCCTTTTACCCAGAAGAAATAGCAACCGTGGCAGGCTTTCTCTGAGGCAGAATAAAGGTAACTTGTGAAAGTAGGTTATTTTTTCCCTTATCACAGGGAACAAGGTTGGCAGTCGGTCCCTCAGGAAGTGGCTGAGGGTCCCTGCAGGGGGAATTTGGCCTCAGGCAGATTCATGAGAATTTTCTGCCTGGTCCAGTTGCTACAGACAAGGTCCCAGTCGTATTGGGTCTAAAGTTGAAAAAAGCCAAAATTTCCTCCAAATATGAGATCGTGATTCTTTTCCCCCATTACCTGTAGATAATGGAATAAAACAACAGTCCATGCGCCTGGAATTTTAAACTTACGTGGTTTGGCGTCTGCCAGTTTCCAGCCAATCATCCCCATCTCCTCTGCCTTTTTTGCTCCATCTATATTTTTACCATTTCCAGAATTTCTCAAAATTTTGCGGATGCTACTCTGCCAAAATGCTTTTGTGGCAAAAACCAAAATCTTTTGAGGCCCTGCCCAAAGGTCACCTCAGAGCCTTCCCAGTGCTCTGCAATCTGTCCTAGCTCCCTAGGTCTGGATGGAGCTCTGTTACAGCATAAGCTGTGAGGTGTGAGATGTTGACATTACTTTTTGCTTACAAGTCAGCGAATCTTGCAAGAACTGTTGGCTAAATGCTTTGGTCCTATAGCCTATATAATCAGGCTGGGGGTAGAGAATATTGTGAACTGTTGTTCTAACCGGGCATTGTTTTAGGGCTCTTAAGATTGTTATTTTCCCCAAAGTCTCAGTTAAAGAGAATTCAGGGCAGTTCTGTGTCTTGTCTTCCCCAACCCTTAGTTAGCACCAAAGTTCATACTTACTAGGTAACATTGAGAAACAATAGTATAATGATGGAACTGAGTCTCAAAAGGTTTGAAATCCAGGTCTCTTGAAACCAAGACCCTGATTATTTCCAGAATAGCATATTGGAAATCCAACAAGGAAGAGGGTGTTCTAGGCAGAGAAAAGAATATAAGCAAGAAAAAAGTGCATGAAAGGGGTGGAAGGTGTAGCAGGAAGGGTCAACAGTGGCCTACAGGGGCCAGCTGGGTAGTAATATGAGTGGAGTGGGCAGGCAAGGAGTAAGAAAATTTGATAGAAATATGGGTTAAGAAGTTACTTTCTCCCTTGTTATAAAACAATATATAGCAACAATATTAGCACCTGCCAGACTCAGGGAGACAATTGGCAGTGGGGGTGATTGTAGTAACACAGAGCAGCTCTTGCAGATTGCTGCCAAGCACAAACTCAGGCCCAGATAGTATTTTTCAAAACAGATATTTATTTTTTTAAATGTTGGCAACTAATTAAAACTTAAACACAAACTATCTGTCCACCAAAACCTCCCTTGTGGGTGCAATCAACGTTTTGGCTGCTTTTCTGTAATCTCTGTTTTAGGAATTGATCTAAACTGAAGGGAGGATTTTGTTAAATATTTGACCTCAGCAGGCTCAAAGGGCTGTGGAGCAGTGCTGATGAAATTAGAAACTCTAGAAAATACAAACTAAACTACAGTGACAGAACACACATCAGTGGTTGCTGGGGGTGTGGCAGGAAGGAGGGATTCTTAAGGGGCATGTGGAAACTTATGGAAGTGATGGATATGTTCACTATCTTGATTGTGGTGATGGTTTCATGGGTGCATATATGTCTTAACTTACCAAACTGTAATATGTACAATTTATTGCATGTCAGTTATATTTCAATAAAGCCGATTTAAAAACTTTATGACAGGAGCAGGTTTGTGTAATTCTTTTCACCCCGTCAAGCTACAAGTTTAAACACCCTCTCTCCTCATTGACTTCCCCAAAATCTAGTCTTTAGGGTCAATCCAAACCAAAGACAATTTAGAACTTTGCAACAGGTTTTTATTTTTGCTTTATATCTATTACAGTGTTTGAAACCTAAAGAAATACATTTTCTCTTCAAATTTGGATGTGTATATAAATATCATTTTGTCTGGACTCAGCACACTCAATGCCATGGTTTTTTGGCCTATGTCTGCTCTGAAATCATCAGACTTTGTCTGTCTACCCAGGGGCCCTGAGAACATGGAAAACAGCCAGAGTTTTTGTTCTTAGAAAAATAAAAGCAAATGATTTGGGAAGAAATACCAGTGAGGAGAAAGATTCTGTTCACCTTTCTAGGTCCGTAGCTGGAAACCCAACCTGATCTTGGGGGATATCCAGTCTGTTGAGTGGTTGGGATCCCAAACCCCCTTCTGTTCTTAAAGGCAGTCCTACAAAAGCTGGCTAAAAAAGTCAACACATAACTACAGGGCCTGAAGTTTCATGTAGATGGGGACTATTTAAGGAAATCCTCTGAATCAGAGGTTTCCAGCCAATCTTAGGATCTCTGAGCTCTGATTCCCCTTATTACCCCCAGGACATGGCATTCAGTTCTCTCTTCCCAAACCCGGGGCTGAAATTCCAACCTGCACAGGAGACCAGGGCTGGTGTTTAGCAGAGGGGTTCAGGTATGTGCTAATGTGAACATCAGAAGTCAGGCTGGCCCAGAAGTAGCTAGGTAGGCCCAAGCTTACTGGACACACTATGCAAACCTTGCTGCCAGGGTGTTCTGGGCCTAAAATTTAATGCTGCCTCTTCTAACTCTGGTAGCCAGCTTTGGTTCTTCACATAGCCCAGGCCTGAAGCAAAATGCCCTCTCAGAGGAAAAATAAGTTTTAATTCACAGATTTAGTCTTGACCTCAAATTCTTCCCTTGCCATGGTCTTAATCTGGGAGTGGGGTTAGGGATAGACAATGGGATGACTGAATCATTTATAAAGGCCTTGGACAAAGAGCAGCTAGTGCACACTACATGGATCCCAGTAGGGCCAAATTCTCAGCTTGTTGCCTTAACAAAAGAATCTAAAAGCTAAAATACAGAAAAAATACTGGACAAGGTTGGTCTAGAATGTGCAATTCTAAATGGCTGTGGAAGAAACCTACTCTGAGCAACCTCAGTCTCACACTCACTAACTTCTAGGGTAGTACTACCTGGAAGATGATGCTACTGGTCATGAGCATTCCCTATGGTTCAGTGCACTAAGCCTTTTTCACTCTTCCCCAGCCTGCCAGGGAGGCAACAGGCGCACACATTCCTGAGGCCCCCAGCCTGCTGTCCCTACTGCGTTCCAGGAGTATCAGCAGGAACCTGGAGAAACTGGCTCCTTGCCCTCAACTGAGAATCTAGAATCTAAGCCCACAAGATGAATCTGTTGAGGAATACTCAAGATGATGGATACCAAGCTGAGTGAGTCTAGGGCAGAAGAGATAAAGACTGAACAAGAGCCGGGGCCTTCACAGAAGGGCATGTTGGGGGGAGGAGGTTATTATTACTAGGCTTTCCTTTCCTTCCCTTCTAATGTGCTAGAAACAGGTATAACTCTAAGGGGTGAGGGAGGGCAGGCAGACATGAGAAAATAGAAATGCAGTTCATTTTGCTAGATAGTTTTCATTTTGAACTGGTTTGGCTTGAGAGAAATAGAAAGCCTGTGCCTAAGAGCCTTCTTTTCCTCTCCCACAGTAGCAGCTATAATCTGTGCAGTTCAGCTCCAGAAAATAGGGCTCCTGGAAGATATCTTCCAGGGCAAAGAGAGATGAAGGAATAGATCTAAGGGTTCTTGGTAAGGGAAACACCAAGGGTCTCTGAAAACTGAGGTCATCAACACCTGCTCCTTGGAGGGTTAATTTGTGTCAACTAACCCAAGTAACCAGGCTGGCCAGCTGAGGGCACATGGTCTACCAGCAGATCACAGCCAACATCAAGGCCAGGAGGTCACTGGAGATAGCTGGGAATTGAAGGCAGGCTTTTAACACCAGAGACCCTGTTAGTACTAGAGAAGATGATTCGGGAGTAGGTTGCCTAGAGGGGCTAACAATAAAGAATAGCAGGCACTGTTCAAAACAGTATTTGAACACAGTAGCTAAGAAGGTTCCTTGTCCTCTTAATCCATACATAGATACCTCCACTCCCAGCAGAGATCTTGAAATGGATATACCAGCCATGTGCTAACAGATGAGGACTCCAACAATAAGCCTTGACTTACCATGCTTTTCCCTATAGCAGGCTGGGAAGACCCCGCATCCTGGCAATAACCTTTCAGAAATCTGCTGGAAAGCCTTTGACCTCACTTAGGCCAGGTTCTGGAGTCCAGATGGGAGCTGCCTACAAAGAATGGTTCTCAAGCCTGGACTAAAATATTTTGCTTCAAAGATAGCCAAAGGAGAGGATGAGATACAAAAGATGATGTTACTGCCTCTGTGGGCTGGAAGAACTTCACTTGTTGACTGAAAAGGGGTTACGGGAAGATAATGGGAAAACGTGGTCTGAGGGAAGACACAAAAGAAAGCTCCTAGAAGCCACTTTTCTCTAATGAGTAATCTGTCTTCACATTATGCCCCCAGTAGAATTCAGCTTTTGAAGGCCTTAAAAAAAACTGGCTTTAAAAGCAGCAGCCAATGACCAAAAAAGAGTCTTCCATGTGGTACAGGAACCAGAGCCGAAGAGATTTTGAAGGAACAGTTGGGAAAGCAGGATTTGTATGTCTCATTCAAGAATATGGCCCCAATGTCAGGGACTTAACTGTTGCTTGAGATTGTACAAAGGAGATCTTACTAAGTTGCTCTGCTCTTCGGACAAGGATGATGGGATGCAGGGGGTGGCGGGTGTGGTGGAGTGGGGAGATTTTCTTTGAACTGTAGAATCGTTTTATAGTTTTGTAATGGAGGCAGCAGGCCAAATGAAAAGGTCCAGCCCTTTCCCTTCCAGGGAGATTGCGGATTGGTAGTCATTATTCCCAAGCTGTTGAGTGGCATTGAATTTATCAAGGTGATATAACACTGGTGTCATTTTTCAGTGATAAATGCCAGCCCTAAACCAACTTTCTCAGGAAATGGCTCTGGAGTGGGACCTCAACACTAGAAGGAGAGAGCAAATTTAAGACCAATGGCCAACAATAAGCACCTGAACTTAAGATCTATAGGCAGAAGGGCATGGATTTGATCTGAGCCAGAAGGAGGCATGTAGGAATGGGAACAAGAATAGCATAGTTTCTGGGGAAGGAAAAGTATAGCTTGGAACAGGGCACCTCTGACTAACCACAGTGGGGAGGTGGGGGCAGAGCTGATTGTGCCTTCAGCTCCATTGAAGGTCTACACTTAGCTGACAACTTCCTCCACCCCATCCCCAAAATCCGGGCTTTACTATCATGTAATCCATCCGGAGGCATAGGCAAGCCACTGAAGCACTGCACTAGCTTTACTCAAAGAGAAAGAAAAGGCATCTGGATTATAATTGTCGCAAGGAAGGGAAAACTCAAACCAGGTACAAGTATCCCAAAGAGGGAAGATACCAAGAGCTCTCACACAAGTATTTAGCCTGCTAAGTTTCTGTGCTAACAGGAGAGGCAGCCATGTCTAATAACTTATGTGGACAACGGCCTTTGAGATCCAATCTGAGAAGGCAGACTGCCTTCTGGGTTTTTCTGATGTAAAGCAGGATGTGCAGCAGTGAGGACTAGAGTGACAGACTTCACCAGGCCTTGACACCATTCTTGCTCCCTTCAGGTACCAGAACAATCAGACCAGGCTGACCTGCTTTATAAAAGGTTTCAGAGCTTATGGTTGGTCCCAGGTGGTGGTCCAGAATCCAAGCAGAGAGGAAAAGGACCAAGCTCATGCCTCCTGAGCAAGGGACCTTCCACACCTCTTTTTGGTCTTCCTCACAGTATCCTACCTACAGAAATTACAGACAGTTCTTCTTGAGACCAATTAAAATTGACCTACCTAATATACAGAATATAAAAAAATACAGAACTTTTTGACATTCTCTCCTTTGGAAGTAAAATATACATGATCCAACTATGGAAGAAGAAGAAAGGCCAAAGGCAGGGATCCCTGACTATCCCAATACATGACTCTCTCACTCCAACCTCCTCTGTAACTTATGGGTTACCAGAGCAAGGACCTTGTCTTCAGGAGAAAGGAATGACCATAGCTCCCCCGCCCCAAGCTTAGGAGAAAATACAGCCACCTCAAAGGTTCACTCAACTCTGAGGGGAATTTTCAAGTAAACAAATGAAGGTGGGTTACACCATTTGGAAGGTGAGTAGGAAACATGGGATCAGTAGCTACACATGGGAAGCCCCGTCTGAAGGCCTATACTCCTTCCCTCCACTCCCACTGGTGTACCTGCCCCAGGAGAGTGAGGGGGATCTCCCGAACTAAAGTGGTCTGGGCAAGGGGTCAGAGGGAGGGAGGGGCCTGTGTCTCATGGTGGCCTCCCTATCAGCCTCTAGTCCCAGACAACGCTGGCAGCTGGGATTCCTAAAACCAGGAACTCATAGCTCTTGGGAAGAGCCATTTTAATACAAGAAAAATGTGCAAAAGAAAAAAAATTAAATAACTCAATCCAAGCATACAAGATTAATATTCTGTCAGAACAACAACACTTTGTTTTGGATTTCTCCCCTCCCCTCCCACCTCCCACCTCTGGAATATTCCATCTTCTCAAGTACCCAAGATAAGAGTTACACAGATCAGGGCAGACGACTGAGAAGGATGAAGGAAGATAAAAGGGAAGGAAGTCACCACTAAAGAAAAAAATAAAAAAAGAAAAATAAAAAAAGGTGCAAATTAATTGATTACCTCAGTCCTCCTTTGTCTACCCCTGGGCTCCTGGGTTAAAGACATGTGTGTAGCCGAAATATAGTGTAAGGAAGAAAAACCCAACACGTCCCCTTCTTGTCACAAAACCCAAATGTGAGCCTCAGATGATTCTGTCTGTCCAGAGGGTGATCCCTCCAGGGAAGGGGGCGGAGCAGGTCAAGAGCACAGTCTCCAGGGCAGCAGAGGTGTGTGGTGGCTGATGGTGGGAGGGCTGGTTTCCCGCCCACCAGAGGGCTGCTCTTCTGCTGTTTGGTGGTGCTTCCCATCCCCTCCCCTCCCCGGAGGCAGACATTATAGCTGGAAGCCCTCCATGGGGGCCTCAGGCTGCTGGAAGATGAACTGCTGTTGCGTTTCATCCACTTGGGGAGCCAGACTGCTATCATCATCTTCTACACCAAAGTAGTGCTCAATGAGGTCGAAGGCCTTCTGGTAGATCTCCTGGTTCTCATGGCTCTGGAGAAACTCAATTTTATCCAATCCTATGGTGGCAAGAAGGAGAGAGAGTGAAGTGTGAGTGCTTTCCTGTGGACTGATGAAACATTTATCTATTTTTCCTTCCCTGAGGTATGTTAGTGTTTACAAATACAAATAATATGATCAGATTATTCTTTGACCTGAAAGAGGAGAGTCAAGATCTCTTCCCAAAACTACAGAATCCCAAAGGAAAGACAGCAAAATGTCAGTTAAGAAATTAGAGGTTCTAGGGCCGAGCCCGTGGCGCACTTGGGAGAGTGCAGCGCTGGGAATGCAGCAGCGCTCCCGCCGCGGGTTCGGATCCTATAGAGGGATGACCGGTGCGCTCACAGCGCTCACTGGCTGAGCGCGGTGCGGCCGGTCTCAAAAAGGACAAAAAAAAAAAAAAGAAATTAGAGGTTCTAGTCCTGATTCTGCTTTAAACTAGCTGCATGACCTGGGCAAATCATTAGCCTCTCTTCTCAGATATGGGTGATGAGTCAATTCAGCACTCTTATTGGAACTTGCAGAAACTGTTGGAAACACATGCCTTCCAGCTCCTGACTATTATCAGTTTTGGATCTTTATCTTCACATCTGTGCCACACTTATTTATTAGGTAGAGCCTGTCAGAAATAGAATTGATCTATTGCTCCTCAGAGGGAGAAGGAACTGATGGGATAAAATCCTGGATTCAAAAGATGACCCTGGGGCCGGCCCGGTGGCGCACTGCTACAGTGCGCCGCTTGGGAGCACAGCGGCGCTCCCGCCGAGGGTTCGGATCCCACATACAGACCGGTTCCCGCTCACTGGCTGAGCGAGGTGCGGGTGCAACACTGAGGGTTGCGATCCCGTTGCCGGTCCCGGTCCGGTACGGGCGCGACACTGAGGGTTGCGATCCACTGCCGGACACGAAAAAAAGACAAAAAGGAAAAAAAAAAAAAAAAAAAAAAGATGACCCAAATCCAAATCCTAGCTCTATCCCAGCTATCAGTACAAGCCTGTTACTGCCATGGAACATCTGAAACCCTGTGGAAGGTATAACATCCTAGAGCAGGAGTTCTTAACTGTTTCTGGAGACTCAAACTCAAGTCTCATGGAAGCTGCAGATGTTCCCCAGCACACCCCCTCACACATGGATGTTCCCCAGATCCCGCCCCTCACATACGGATATTCCCCAGCTCCCGCCCCTCACACACGGATGTTCCCCAGCTCCCGCCCCTCACACACGGATGTTCCCCAGCTCCCGCCCCTCACATACAGATGTTCCCCAGCACCACCCCGCCACATACGGATGTTCCCCAACTCATGCCCTCCTCACATACGGATGTTCCCCAACACATGCCCCCCTCACATATGGGTGTTCCCCAACCCCCCCCCCCATACGGATGTTCCCCAGCACACCCTCCCTCACACTTTGGAGGCTTACAGCCCCCAAGTTCTGACTTAGAATCTCTCTATTTAAGGGGGAGGTGAGGTTGGGGAGAGGACACATACCATAGGCTTCCTCAATGAGGCCACAGTAGGGATTGACCCCTGAGCCACTGCGCTTGCCCTCTTGCTCTCCAAGCCGCAGGATGTTCTCCAGTCCATTGAGAGCCACTTGTACAATCTTTGAATCCATAACAGTCAGCAAGTCGCACAGTGGTTTGATGCAGCCCAATGAGACCAGGTACCTGGGGGCCAGAGACCAGGCAAGTTCTAAATTAGCGCAGGGCAAGTGAAGCGCTGGGCAGGTGCTTTGGCCTGTGGTCTTCCTCATACATGTCAACACTGTCAGCAATCCACTCTTACTGAGCCTTGATAACCATCCATGCTTTCTCTGTCTCAATCTCTCCACCTTCCCATTGCTAGTGGTGTAGTTCATTTCACATGTGGATGCTATCAGAGACTTCTCCTCCTTTTCAAAGAAGCTGCTTTGATTGAGCCACAGCATGGTTCCCCTTCATTTGTATGAGTAAATGGAAATCACATAGATTTCAGTCCTCTGGAGGACAGGAAGTAGAGGAAGGATGGATGTCATAGGTTTCTATTATCCAGGAGGGAAAAGAGGTACTACATATCATGATCTACAGGAATCTATTCCAGATTCCAGTGTCAATATAGCAGCTTATCAGTTAAACCCTATTGTAGCTGGACTAGGGAGTAGACCTATCCCAGCAAAAGCAGTTTAGAGGTCATCTGTAAACCATGAGCAAAGAGAGAGAGTACACATGTCATTCAAGAAAACGGGAAAGGAATATGATACCTGATCTGCTCAGGGGTTCCTCCTGATGTGGCATTGGTGATGGCCCAGGCTGCCTCTTTCCTTGTACGGAACTCTGCTTTCTGAAGGATTTCAATCAACACAGGGAAGATATTTGCATCTATGACAGCCTGAGAGAGGATTGGGGGAAGGGGGATAGAAGGAGAAAGTGACTTCAAAAAGAGAAAGTAAATCCAGCTCCCAAATCGGCTGAAATTTAGACATCTTCTCTCCTGTTAGTTCTCCTTTGTTCTTCCCATATATGTGACAGGCTACAGAGGAATCCAGCTTTGGCTACACAGAATCTTTGACCAACAGCACATACCCAATTTCTAAAGGGAAACAAATTATTTCTTCTGGAAATAAATATCCCACAACCTCCTATGTTCCTATGCCACTCATGCCCCTCAGCCTCCCTGCCTGTTCTACCTGTATTTGAGCCCTGTTGCCTGCAGTGATGTTCGAAATGGTCCAGCAAGCTTCCTTCCGGATTGACTCCTTGGGGCTGCTCAGCAAGTGGAGGAGGCAAGGGAGGGCTGAACAGTTAAGAATGACCTAGAACACCAAAAGCACAAAAAACAACAAAAGAAAAATTAGATAAATTGGACTTAATGAAAATTAAAAACTTTTGTGCATCAAGATACCAGAGTAAAAAGGGAAAACCACATAACGGGAGAAAATATTTGCAAAGTATCTATCTGATAAGAGATTAGTATCCAGAATATATGGAGAATTCCTACAACTAAACAACAAAAAATATTCCCAAATAACCTAATTAAAAAATAAGCGAAGGTGGGGCTGGCCGGTTAGCTCAGCTGGTTAGAGTCTGGTGTTGATAACACCAATGTCCAGGGTTTGATCCCTGTACCAACCAGTCACAAAACAAACAAATAAACAAACAAACAAAAAGCAAAGGACTTCAATAGACATTTCTCCAAAATAGATATGCAGATGGACAATAAATGTACTAAAAGATGCACAATATCACTAATGGTTAGGGAAATGCAAGTCAAAACGAGATTTCACTTCACACCCATTAGAATAGCTATTATCAAAAAAACCAAAAAATAACAAGTTGTTGGCAAGGATGTGGAGAAACTGGAACCTGGTGCATTGATGATGGGAATGCAAAATAGCACAGAAGCTGTGCAAAACAGTATAGTGGTTCCTCAAAAAAACAAACAAACAAAAAAACACAAACACAAACAAAAACAAACACATAAAATTACCATAAGAACCAATAATTCCACTTCTGGGTATACACCCAAAAGAACTGAAAGCAGGGACTTGAACAGATATTTGTACACCAATGTTCACAGTAGCGAAAGGTGACAACCACCCAGATGTCCATCGATGGATAAACAAAATAATGTATATACATACACATGGATGAATTTTGAAGATATTATACTAAGTGAAATAAGCCAGATGCAAAAGGAGAACTACTATATGAATCCTTTATATGAGGTACCTAGGGCAGCCTAACACAGAGACAAAAAGAATTGTGCTTACTAGGGGTGAGGAGTTGGGGGGATGGGGAGTTAGAGTTTAATGGGTATAGAGTTTCAGTTTGAGATGATGAAAAAGTTCTGGAGATGGATGGTGGTGATAACTGAATAACAATGTGAATATACTTAATGCCACTAAACTATACACTTTCAAACAAAGTCCAGTTATTCCATTTAGTTTTCTTTCATAAGCACCCACCGGATGATGATTTGCTTTCAATTTACAGAAGAAAAGAAAGAACCAAGTTGTCATGATCATACAGAGAGTGGAATTTTATGCTCAAGCTCATGCTTTCTCTCCTAGACCATGCTGCCTCCCATCAGGACTAGAGCCCTTTACAGCGAAGGCTTTTGTCCACAAGCAGCTTTCTACAATGCTCTCCCATAGCTGGTCTGAGCTAAAATCCTGCACCTTCTTTCTCCTTACCTGGGTCTGGATGTCATCCCCAGTGACGATGTTACCCACAGCTCTCAAGGCAGGAGAAGCCACTTTGTAATCATTGTGCCTACAGAGGAAGAAGATCTGATCAGCAGAGGGCCAACACACCATGTTTAGTCCTGCTGACCACCAAGGCTGGCAGCATTCTCATGGCTCCAGACCTTTGGGTAGGACAGCAGACCGCTGACTGTGACTCTTTAGTCTGAGCATGGAGAAGCTTAGGAAACCTGAACCCTCTCTAACTTGGACTACTCACATCAGAAGCTCTACCAATCTCCGGCAGACTCCAGAGTCTATGACCGCCTGGATCTTCTCATTGGGGCCATCAGACAGATAAGAGAGGGCCCAGCAAGCATCTGCCAGCAAGTCTGAGTCGCTGCTGAAGAGTAGGCGAGACAGTACAGGCAAACAAGGAGAGACCTATTGGAAGCAGAGTGAGACTCATGGCGGGGCAGAGCTATACCAGCACTAACCCCAACAAGTAATTCTAGACCCTAGGGATCTCTACTATATCAAATCTTCAGGCCTATCTTTGCACTTTACCACCCAGGCACACAAATTCACTTACTTCATTGACAATTGGTTCTTTCAGTTTCCCATGATTTGAGACTCTCAGGGATACCCCCAAAGACTTAAAAACTCCGTATGAAGGAATCTGCTGTCACTTAGAGATCGGTAAACTCACCTTTGCAAACTCTGGGGGTGGGTTCTTCCCTCGGCAGAGATTTGACAGGGCCCAGACTGCATTCCGTGTCATTGTCAGTCGTGTGGACTTGGTAAGGAGTCTGAAGGAAACAGTAAAGTCAGATCCTAAGCACTGATGCCCTGGCATAGAGCTGCTGCCAATGAACCCTGGGGGGCAAATTCAATCATATTCCTAAGACTCTAGTAGTGTGTCTATTTCTTCCTACCCATATTCTTAAGTTAATAAAGCCGGTTTGGGCCAGGAGGCCAGCCTCTCCACAGAATAATCCTGTGCAGGACCAGCTATGGTTAATTAATATCATAGATAATAAGAACTAAACAGAGGGCTAAATCTTGAGTAAGCCTGCAAAGCTTTGCAGATAAGACATACTGTGTCCCTAATTCTGGCCACAAGTCCTGGGGCTTTAGCCCTCACATCAGTATGGAATGATTTTCTGTGAAGGGTCCATGAAAGTGACAATGGTAGCCTATGAGCTTGTGGTCTCTGAAGAACAGTTCATGCATTTGAGATGTCCAAATTATCCTTCATGGGGTCTTTGATCTATGATTTATAACAGAGTAGTCCAATGTATCTATGCATAACCCCAAAGCAAATCAATGCATTCTGTAGAGAAGGTTGGATTTTTCCAGATGGGCTAGCCCTACCTTTCTTCCCTGGTTTAACAGTGAAGCAGATATGACCAACATAAGGTTCTACAGTACCAAGAAGCAAGGAACAAGATCTGCCATGGCACAGACCAGTGGCACAATCTTCTTACTTTCAAAATATACCTACATTTTACTTCAGCAATCAGAATGCACTTTTAGAGTTTTTGTATTTACCAGCCATCTTAGGGGATCAAGCAAGCTGCCTCAAATGATCTGCCATATGGCTACTCTACAGATGCCCCAGGTGCAGATGATTATAATTACTCACGTTAACAAAGGATTAAGGATGGAACAGTTCAAGACGTAATCTCGGCAGACAGAGCTGTCTCCAGCTATGTTTCCCAGTGCCCAGACTGCCTGAAAAGGGGATGATGGGACTGTAACTCAGAGAGCCTGGTAGCTTCTGTGGGTACTTCATAGTCACAACTACAGAGTGAATGCCCATCAGGCCGAGAACCGTGTCAAGGCCTGAGACATACCAAACACATTCAGGTAACCTACCTGTTGAAATCGTTATTGCCCACTTGCTCTATAAGGACCTTCCCCCTGGGAGTTCCTGGTTCAGTAGGGGAAGACAGGCTGCCATTTGTGCTACAGCCAGAGAAACCAAGACCTCCCCATCCTGCCTCCCAGAAAAGGAGAAAGTGGTCACAAAGTTGCATTCTTGTAGCTGCCTTGGACCAATGCTATATAGAAGTAGTGAAAAGATCCCACTGCCACTCTCCACTTCTATCCAACTAACAAGAATCCAGTGGAAGGAATGGAAGTGATATCTTTATCTCCATGATCTATGGGTACTGAAAAACAGGTACTATTGTGTCTTTTTTCCAACACCACTTTTGACACCATTAATGTGTGGAGTTTTTTCCACATCAACAATTCTGACGCCAACAATTTAAATCAATTCTGACACCAACTCCTGGTATAAGCATAAACCCTACAGGTTAAGGGCTCACAGGTCAGTCCCACAAAACTGCCCCCACTCCAGACAGTTGCAAGTCCCAGTACTTCTGACTGACCAGCTATAAATTTGAGGATTACTACAATCCCCTCCTCAGGTTTGATAATTTGCTACAACCTGAACTCAAGAAAACACTTTACTTATGTTTACTGGTTTACTGTAAAGCACACAACTCAGGAACAGCCACATGAAAAAGATGCATATAACAGGCTACAAAGTGAGGAGGGAAGACGGTACCACCTTCCCAGCACATTCAATTTGTTCACCTGAACTCAAGAAAACACTTTACTTATGTTTACTGGTTTACTGTAAAGCACACAACTCAGGAACAGCCACATGAAAAAGATGCATAGAACAGGCTACAAAGTGAGGAGGGAAGACGGTACCACCTTCCCAGCACATTCAATTTGTTCACCAACCCAGACACTCTCCAAATCCCATCATTCAAGAGTTTTTATAACCAAATCTTCTGGGGAGGTCAGGTTGGTGGGTGGGGCTAAGGATTCCCACCCTCTAATCCTGTTTAGTTTTTCTGATGACCAACCCCATCCTAAGGTTACCTAGGATGAGTCACCTCTGGACTCAGGTGTGATAGAAAGGGGTTCTACAAATAACAAAAGACACCTCATATCACTCAGAAAATTCCAGGGGTTTTGAGAGTACTATGCTGAAAACCAAGACAAAGACCAAATTTTTAAAAAATTATACCACAAGTATCATGAAGAATAAGCCAAATCTGAGCATTACCTGTTCCTGTACATCCTCAAAGTCCGAGTTAAGCAGCTCTATAAAAATGGGAACAGCCCCTGCTTCAATGACAATTTTGGTCTGCTGAGAGGTTCCAGAGGCAATGTTCGTTAGAGCCCAGGCAGCTTCAAACTGAAAGTGAGATTAAGCCATGACTGAGAGCTCATTCCAGACTAAGCAGCCATGCCTACCAGCTGACTCAGAACAGTAAACCTCTTGCCCGTGAATGAAATAAAACCTCATAAAACACAAGCCTTTCCCCTCACCTCTTTAAATGGCAGAAAGAGGCAGTGATGTGACATCCAGATGAGTTTCTAGCAAGTTCCAGTGGGCTGATTCATCATCCATCTCAGAAGAGAGACCCAGAAAGGCTAAACACCTGTCTCAGGTCACACAGATAGACAGAAGTGGACTAGACCTTCTGATTTATAAATGAATGCTAAGTCTGTCATATTCTGATATCCTTCCCCTGAGATTGTTTTAAGGAAGAGATTTTGGCTCTCTTTTGAAATCAAGACCTCTGAGGTAGCTGATGGTTTCTCTTAAATGAATCCTCATATTACTTGTCTATTTCCTGAGATTAGTCTATAGAACTATCCCATTGCAATTTCTTGGAAGAAGAGCTTTGATCAGGTAACCCCTTCCTCCCAGGCCTCACCTGTAACGTACAATTCTCATTCCTCTTTAGAAACTCCACAAACCGATCCACCACTCCTGGAGTGTTGATAACTTCATCTATTGGAGGACTAGGCTCTGGAAGAGAGAGAAGGAAAGGAGATGTAAAGTCAGAAGAGGCTGGCCGGGGGGGCTGGCCTGTGGCTCACTTGGGAGAGGGTGGTGCTGACACCACCATGTCAAGGGTTAAGATTTCCTTACCGTCATCTTTAAAAAAAAAAAAAAAAGAGGCTGGCTGGTTAGTTTAGTTGATTGATTACAGCATGGTGCTGATAACACTAAGAGTTCAATCGATCCCTATACCAGCCAGCCACCAAAAAAAAAAAAAATTCAGGAGAGGCTTTGACTGATCATTCACTGGGGTCAGTTCACAATCCTTCCTAGATATTTCTTTTTCTTTTTTTTTTTTTTTTTTCCTTTTTTTGTCTTTTCTCGTGGCCGGCAACGGATCGCAACCCTCAGTGTTGCGCCCGTACCGGACCGGGACCGGCAACGGGATCACAACCTTCGGCGCTGCTCCCGCGCCTCCTGCTTCCTAGATATTTCTGACCACCCTTACAAACATTCTCAAACTCCCTTCTGGTGAGGTGGTTTTAACAACCGGCTCATCTTTAAGCTGTATTAAGATGCTAAAGGGTAAAATCAATCCTAATTTAGGTATGCTCACCCTTGGCTTACTGAATGTAAGCAAAGAACGGGAAGGGAGAGAGGAAAGCCCAAGGGATGAGCAGCCCTAGCCTATACATTTCTCTTCTAAGACCAGTAGTCTTTTCTTTTTTGGGAGGACTACTTCATATACTGAGGCAAGAAGTATTTTTCCTATCAATATTTTTTTTCTTTTTTGGTGGCTGGCCAGAACAGGGATCTTAACCCATATATCAAATTTTTATGAGCACCTACTATGTGCCACACAGTTCTAGGTACTAAAGATATAGCAGTGGGATTGGCCAAGTTAGCTCAGTTGGTTAGAGTGCAGCCTTATAAAGATAGAGCAGTGAACAAAACCAGAAGTCCCTGTCCTTACAGAGCTTACATCATAGTGGAGAGAGAAATTCTAATGGGGGTCGCAGGGGAGAAGAATATGTAGGGCAAGGTAAGGAGATAAAGACTGCTGTGGGTGAGGGATAGCTTGGGATTTTTTTTTTTTTTTTCCTCCTTTTTTTTGTCTTTTTTCGTGACCGGCAACGGATCGCAACCCTCAGTGTCGCGCCCGTACTGGACCGGGACCGGCAACGGGATCGCAACCCTCGGTGTTGCGCCCGCACCTCGCTCAGCCAGTGAGCGGCCGGTCTGTATGTGGGATCCGAACCCTCGGTGGGAGTGCCGCCGCGCTCCCAAGTGGCGCACTGTAGCAGTGCGCCACTGGGCCGGCCCCATAGCTTGGGATTTTAGATAGGGGTCAGAACAGGCTAAGTTAAGAAGGTAGGATTTGATCACTGAAGTGAGGGAATTGTTATTAGATATTTGGGAGTAGAGGATATCACACAGAAGGAAAATCCAGTGCACAGGTGGGAATGTGCCTGGCTTGTACAAGAAACACCAAGACCAGTATGACTAGAGCAAAATGAGGGGAAGAGTAGTTTGATAAGGTCAGTGAAAAGAAACAAGAAGCTAGATTATATAGGGCCTCTCTGAGAAGGACCAGGCTTTATACCTTTGGAGAGCAGTTTCCGGAATTTCTGTGTGGTTGCTAACTGCAGGTCAGAATCATCAGAAAAGAGCATTTCCACCATCTCTCTTGTGATCACACTTTCCTAGAACATAAAACAGGTTTAGGACTTTGCAAACCAACACTAGAGCCAGATGTGAACACATGATCCCACACGACATCCTGCTTTTTAAGACTTGAGGGTAAGAGGATGACATAATAGATAGGCTCAGGAAGAAGGGGTTTGTTTAATCCATGGCTGCTTCAAGTTGGGACATTTGAAAGTGATTCCTAAACTCTGAGGCAACTGATGGCTTCCCTTAAATGCTTCCTCAGGTATTTCCATCAGAGATGAATCCTTGTTGACTCCTTAAGATGAACAACTACAAAAGGGCCCACGGAAGAAAAAGCTTAGCATGGTAATTGGCAAAGCTACTAGATGATATAAATGATTACTTTCTGTTCTGTAGAAGCAGGTACTTCACAGGCTTACATGAGGAACATGCAAGGGCCTTACCCCAGTGGTAGAGCTCACATAGGAGTCCATGAGGAGACTATCGAACATGGCGGCTTCTTCATTAATCAGCTCCACATTTCTCCGTTTAAAAAGCTAAAAGTAAAGAGACAGTGGTAATACTACTCACTGAATCAAAGAAAAGAAAGAACAATCCAATATTAAATTATAGCATAACTGACAAAGAAATGCTAGAGTAATGGAGAAATTGAGACCAAGCTCCATACAGTAGTCCCCCCGCCCTTACTGGCAGTTTCACTTTCCACGGTTTCAGTTACTTTGTGATCAACTGCGATCAAAAATATTATATGGAAAATCCTAGAAATAAACAATTCAGAAGTTTTAAACTGCATGCCATTCTGAGTAGTGGGATGAAATCTCACCCTGTCTTTTGATGTCCTGCCTACGATGTGAATCATCCCTCTGTCCAGCATATCCACACTGTACATGCTACCCATCCCTTAGTCACTTAGTAGCTGTCTCAGTTATCAGATTGACTGTCATGGTATTGCACTGTTTGTGTTCAAGAGAAGCCGTAAAGTGCTTCCTTTAAGTGAAAAGATGAAAGTATAGGAAAAGACATAGTATATATAGGGTTCGGTACTACCTGCAGTTTCAGGCATCCACTGGGGATCTTGGAAACACATCCCTGGCAGATAAGGGGGTCTACTGTATACTGACATAAAATGATATTCAAAGGCTTTAGTTTCTACGTTACATCAATAGTTAGAATTTAGGAGGCTAGCTGGGGCAGGGATCTGAACCCATGACCTTGGTGTTGTAAGGCTGTGCCCTAACGAACTGAGCTAACCAGCCAGCCCCCTAGTTTGCATTTTTTAAGAGAACATTTTTATAACCAAAAAGAAAAATTAAAGATTTCTATGCCCTCTGTATAAATGATGATGAGTATAAAAAGCTCTGAAAGAAAGGATTAATGGTATAGGAAGAGGGTAAGCAAAAGCAGGTTAGGTAGGAATCTACAAATGAGCAAGGCACCAGTCTGATGGTGGTGTGGGATGAATGCAGATGGTGAGGCATTAATACAGTCTCAGTCCTAGGGATTTTTACAAAGAATGGACTCAAGAAAATAGAAGTAAGGCAGCCCAGAATAGCTGATGAGCCTCTTAAAGGGCCAGGCTTAGAGCTGAGCCTTGAAGGCCAGGTCTAACACTGACTGCAGTGTGAAAGAGAAAAAGGCAACAAGGAGTTAGAACTAGAACGCTGAAGACATAAATGATGTCTAAGTTGGTCTAACTAGTAGAAAGGGGGAAGCTTCCAACATTGTTTTACAACAAAGGAAACTGGATGAATGGCCTAATAAGTACTTTCCTAAGGGGAAGCTGAGTGTGCAAGGTGGAAGCCAACTATAGCAGCTGGATTCCCTTAACAGTATGTTTGAGAATACTTCAGTTAACTCACTTGTTGCTCCCGCTTCTGCTTTCGGAGCTGAATGCCCTCTTCCTCTCTTCTTCGCCTCATTTCCTCAGGATTCAGGGCATTGTTCTTATAGCTCTTCATTCGATAATTGTCTTTCCCTGGGCTCGCCATGGTCTCTAGAAGAAAGGAAAATACAAACACATTGTCAAAGACTCTTAAGAGAACAACATATCCTTTTCCCTGGGCTTCTGTCTCTACCCATCCCCCACCCTCCCCTATTCTAGGGGGACCACAGCTTCTCAAGGAGGCCTAATAATCTCAATAACCACCTGGCAACTCTAGCACCAACCCCATACCAACACACACACACACACACACACACACTCTCTCTCTCTCTCTCTCTCTCTCTCACCTTTAATCATAATAAGCTTGTTAAATAGGCAGTATTATAGCCATTGGGTCCTAAAGCCAGTTTGTCTGGGTTCAAATTCTGGCTCTTCTACTTATTAGCTGTGCAACCTTGAACAAGTTGCTTTAACCTCTAATGCTTCAGGATTTTATCTTTATTTAGTTATTTATTTATTTTTAAAAGATGACTGGGGGCCGGCCTGTGGCTCACTCGGGAGAGTGCGGTGCTGATAACACCAAGGCCACGGGTTCGGATCCCATATAGGGATGGCCGGTTGTTCTGCCTCCAGAACAAAGACACCTTAGCTGAGGAGAGTGGTGAGAGTTACTACACTTAACTGTAATTGTAGTGGGCCCTTGATTCTTCATAGGGTTTATCTCCTACCTTTGAAAGCACATGTATCTTAAAAATATTTCCAGTGAATTTACCATTTTTTTTTTTTTAAAGATGACCACTAAGGGATCTTAACCCTTGACTTGGTGTTGTCAGCACCATGCTCACTCAAGTGAGCTAACCAGCCATCCCTATATGGGATCCAAACCCACGGCCTTGGTGTTATCAGCACCGCACTCTCCCGAGTGAGCCACAGGCCGGCCCCCAGGATTTTATCTTTAAAATGGGGACAAATAGTTCTTATTTCATAGAGTTCTTATAAGATTAAATAGGTTAATACATGTGATGTACTTCTTAGAACAATGGTAGGCACATGGTAGATGCTCACAAGTTATGATCACCCCCATTTCACAAGAGAGAAACAGTTATATGACTTATCTAATAAACTCAGATATATTCAACCCAGCCAGGCTAAATACATTATAGTATGCCCAATTCTGTGGAATACCATGTATCTTTTTTTGTGATGATGCATATGCCCACCATCTTTTAAATTTTTTTAAAATTTAAAATGTATTATTTAAATATAATACAAAAGGATGAAGCATGTGTAAGTTACCAAGCAAAATAATACAATGCACATCTGTAAACCCCCAACCAAATCTAAGAATTAAAACATTATCAATATGACTGAATTTAGTCATGGACTCTTCCCCTATTCCAAAGTCCATCATCCCCACTCCCACTCCAACCAAAAGAAAACTGCTATCCTGAATTGTCATTATCTTTGCTTTTGTTTTATTAATCACACATATATAAATCCCTAAATATTGTATTGTATTGTGTTTAGTCTTCTGAGAAGTGTATCCCCCACTCACTGGGTTTCTAAGATTCACCCATGTTTTTGCATGTGGCTGTACTTCATTCATATTTTGTGTTATATTATTTCACTGTGTAAATACATCATCATTTATCCATATTTCTGTTGGTCTTCTCCTTTGCCCACCCCCCCCTATTTTCCCCTATTACAAACCTATGGGAAAGCTGTTGAGTACTCAGTGGTAGATACAAGTTTTCTGGAATTCTGATTTTTTTCTTGAAAGCTGAAATTTTATTATTGACAAATACAGACTCATTTCATGCATTTTGAGAAAATGTCTCTTTAGTACCTAAGTCTGAATAACCACAGTTTGACTGTTAATCATTCTCTCAAGTAAAAACAGTACTGATGGGCCGGCCCGTGGCTCACTCGGGAGAGTGCGGTGCTGATAACACCAAGGCCCCGGGTTCGGATCCCACATAGGGATGGCCGGTTCGCTCACTGGCTGAGCGTGGTGCTGACAACACCAAGTCAAGGGTTAAGATCCCCTTACCGGTCATCTTTTAAAAAAAAAACAAAAAAGCAGTACCGACAAAAAAGTCTAGTATAGCTAGCAACTTAAGCCCACAGGTGATATTCCTCCAGACACATTTTTAAGGGTTGAGTCTGTACTGTTTTATCAGATATTCTTAAGTGAAACTGATATTTTTTTTAAAAAGGGAGTGGTGGTAAAGAATACAAAGAGTGCTAGTATAATTTGTTGCCCCTGCCTCGATTTGTGTTGACATCAGCAGTTCTATCCACCATTGCTTTTACAGCAGCAGTGCAAATATCAACATAGTGAAAATGGCAAAAAACATCTTAATCTTCCCTTCCTAGACTGTGAAATAGTCACAGGGACCCCCAGGTCTGCAGGCCACACTTTGAGAATGCTGCTGTAAGGAATGAATTGCTGGGGTGGAGGTAGTAAATGTAAACTAGACCAGTTAGTGCCAAAGTTGACTTCCAGTGTGTTGCCAATTTGTATTTAGCTAAGCAATACATAAATGATTCCCATTGATAATATACTTGGACCAATAGTTGGAATTGTCACCTTTGACAATCTACTGGGCATAATTAAGTATTTCACTGAGACATGATTTGCATATCCCAGATTACTAATGAGGTTAGAGTTCATGTTTATTATCCATGTTTTCCCTTCTGTGAAAAACGTGTTATGTATTTTTGAAAACTGTTCTATCGAATTATTTGTCCTTTTCTTATTGATTTATAGTCCTCAGATAGTCTGGTTATTATTAATCACTTGGTTTTATGTGTTACAAATATCTTAAAGCAGTTTGTGGCTTTTCACTTTTTTCAGTTTTCACTTTATAGAGTTCCTTAAAAAAAAGTTCTTAATTTTAACGTAGTTGAACTTTTCTTTTATAGTTAGCTTTTCCTTTTTCTTTTTTTTTTTGGCAGCTGGCTGGTATGGGGATTCAAACCCTTGACCTTGGTGTTATTACACTGTGCTCTAACCAACTGAGCTAACTAGCTAGCCCATATAGTTAGCTTTTTCTGTGTGTGTCTTGTTTAATAAATCCTTCCATATTCCTAAAGCCAAAAAGATATCCTCTCATGTCTTCTAGAAGTTTTAGAGTACGCCTTTTACATGCAAGTGTTTCATCTACCTGAAATTTAATTATGTGTATATATGAGATAGAGATTCAATCTCATTCTTTTCCCATGTGGATAATCAATTGTTCTGGCATAGTTTACTGAATAGCCTTTCCTTTTCTACCATGCCACTCCTGTAATCAAGCAAATTTCCCTATATGCCCAAGTCTTGTTTTAGGCTCCCTTCCGTTGGTCAATTTCTTTCCTTCTCCAGTGACGTTATCTTCATTAATATCTTTTAACAAATCTCTTCATCTGGTAGTATAGATCCTCCCACCTAAATCTTCATAAGTGGACTGGCTCTTTTTGAGCCTTAGAAAGCCTTACAATCAGTTTGCTATATCCTCAATAAAATCCGGTTGGGATTTTATTTGGAATTACCCCTTTCCAATACTGAATCAACATATTCACAAAATATGGTCATGTACTTCTCCCATTTATTTTTTAGGTTTTAATGCCTCACAGTAAAGATTTAAAAATTTCTCTATAGAGACCTACAACATTTAGATTTATTCCTAGGTACTTTGGGGGGGGATGGGTGAGAGGGTGCTCTTTATCTTACAGCCAGACACCTTGCTAAATTCTTACTAACTCCAATGCTTACTGGAGTGCAGTAAGACAAAATTAAATAAACCTTTATTATTAGCACTATACTGGATCTCCAGTACAATGCTAATTAATAAGTAGTGATAGATGGCATCCTCGTTATGTTCCTAATTTCAAGGAAAGTTTCCAACTTAGTATGAAGAATGATGTTTGCTGTAGTTTTTTGGCATACATCTTTCATCAGGTTAAAGAAGACACCGTCTATACCTAGTTTCTTATGAGTTTTTAATCATGAATAGCTGTTATATATTATCTAATCGTTTTTCTGCATCTCTTGAAAATACATTTGTTTTTTCTTCTTAAAATGCACAACGAGGGCCGGCCTGGTGGTGCACTGTAGCAGTGCGCCGCTTGGGAAGTGCGGTGGCGCTCCCGCCGAGGGTTCGGATCCCACATACAGACCGGCTGCTCACTGGCTGAGCGAGGTGCGGGAGCAACACCGAGGGTTGTGATCCTGTTGCCAGTCCCGGTCCGGTACGGGCGCGACACTGAGGGTTGCGATCCGTTGCCGGTCACGAAAAAAGACAAAAAAAAAAAAAAAAAAGGGAGAAATAAAATCCTTAGGTTAAGGAATAAGGAATAAATTGTTTGTATATTACTTAAAACTTAAAAGGTCACCAATATAGCAATTAAAAATAGTTGTATAACTCTATTAGGAGGATGGGAGAGACAGGAGAGATGATCAAAGTGAGCTGATCTAATATGTTGAGAAGTCAAGAAGCTAAAATTAATAAGGAATAGAAATAGTGTGCTTATTCCTGAGTACACAGGCCCCTGAACCAGGTTATTTGTTGTAGCATTGTTTACAGTAGCAAAAAACTGAAAACAACCTATATGTTTATTAGTAGGAGATTGACTAATAGTAAAAAACACTCAAGGGGGACACTTTACAGCCAGTAAAATATAGATTTTTTCTTTTTCTTTCTTGGTGGCTGGATAGTACTGGGTAAATCTATAGATTTTCTAACAGAAAAACACCCTCAAAAATCCTAGGATAGGCTCAATTTGGTCAGGACAAAATATATATATTATATATGAATATATAAAATAAATATATAATGTATAAATATATAAAAATATAAATATATTTTGGTGGCTGGCTGCTAAGGGATCCAAACTCTTGACCTTGGTCTTAACAACACCACACTCTAACCAACTGAGCATTACTGACCAACCCGATATGTTTTAAGTATTATTTAGAATTTTGTATTCTTGTTCATAAGTGATACAGGAAAAGTACAGGACCTTCTCATATTATCCTTTGGCTTTGTTATGAAAGGAGTATTCTTTTCCTATTTTTGGAAGTATAAGTAAAATAACTTTTTTATTGGAAATTTGATAGAACTCATCTG